CTAGCCTACAATTCCGGGTTATTAACTTTGTTAGTAACTTGTAGAGCTGCCTTTAAGCATTACAAATCTGCACTTTCTGTGCACTTAGTAGGTATTGTCGCAACTTGTAACTAGATTATAAAGTCGCCCTTTTAGCATACTTAGTAGGCATTGTAACAATTTCTAACTGGCCTACAACTCCGAGTTTCTAACTAGTCTACAATTCCGGGTTATTAACTTTGTTAGTAACTATTGTAGACTGCCTTTAAGCACTTTTAGTGCACTTAGTAGGTATTGTAGCAACTTGTAACTAAATTACAAATTCACACTTTCAGCACACTTACTGGGAATTGTAACAATTTCTAACCACCCTAAAACTCTGATTCTTATAAGCACATTTGTAACAGTTTCTAGTCTCATTGTTTGTGATTCTTATAGGCACATTTGTAACAGTTTCTAGTCTCAATTTTTGTAGTGATTCTTATAGACACATTTGTAACAGTTTTTAGTGTCATTTTCAGTAGTGATTATTACAAGCACACTTGTAACAGTTTCTAGTCTCATTTTTTGTAGTGATGCTCATAAGCCAATTTGTAATAGTTTCTAGTCTCATTTTTTGTAGTGATTCTTATAGGTGCATTTGTAATAGTTCTCAGTCTCATTTTTTGTAGCGATTCTTATCAGCAAATTTGTAACTGTTTCTAGTCGTATTTTTTGTAGTGATTCTTATAGGCACATTTGTTCGTCAAGTCAAAGTAAGTGATCTCAAAAATGTTACAACAAATCAGAAAAAAAAGCCTAGAAAACAAATTATATAGTTTTCACTAGTAGATAAATTATAGTATACATTTTAAATTGATTATTCTAAGGCTGATAAAAATTGTACAAAGTGCCAAAAAATTGAGAGACTAAGAAATCTTTTAGTTATTACCAGTAGACATTTTGAGACTTAGAAAAATGCCAATTAATCCGAAAAATTTGTGAAATCGCAAGTTTCATAGTTCTGACCGATAAACATAGTATAAAATGCACTTGCACTTTTAAAGTGAAAGTGAGTGCTATTGAACTCAGAAAATTAATAATAAAAACCTGCTTTATCATTGTCACTATTAGATGTATTACAATATACAGTTTGAGTCTCTCAAAGTGTTTTAACTTTCCAAAAATGATAAAACATTATAAAATAACACAACTTATTGTCTTTACTAGTAAATGAACTGTATGATGAATTTCAAGCAAAAGTGAGTATTTCAAACCTGAGAAAGGCTGTAAAGACTTTGAAAATTAATATACTAATAAATCTTACCCAAAGGTGAACATTCGGACACACTTTAAATAGATCTCAAATTAAATAAAATGTTTCCAAAATTCAAAAAATTTATAAAAAATTCAGAAAATTTATAAAATGTGAAAATGTATAGCTATTCTCAGTAAACATACTACAAAATGCTTCTAAATTGAAAGTAAGTGCTTTGAGTGTTAGCCAAGTTACACAGCTATGTGCTTTTTAATAAACAGGTTATATGATAAACTCTAAGCAGAAATAACAGTTTTTAGTCTTAGATAAATCATAAAAAATGAGGAAAATGTGTAAAATAAGAAACATTGTAGTAGCTACTAGAAAAGATGCTACAAATATGCCCATAAAGTAAAATTGACTCCTGTGCAGTTTAGAAAACTTATAAAATGCCTAATTTTATAGTTACTACTAATAAGAAATTATTATAAGACAATATGATTATAATTTCTGAGATATAAAGGTATCAGTATGGCAGTAACATGACAATGAATGCTTGCTTTGCAGATAATTTTCTCTAAATTATGAAAACAAATTTTGACTACAAAATTTCACATATAAGATATGTCTAAATTCAGATTAGGCGCTAGATTTAGCTACAAATTTTGTAATGGCTGTCCTTAAGTGGCTATAAGTTTGAGTCCTTTCTGATCTTAATTTTTACTATACTTTTTCATATTTTTAGCATTTATTCATGAGGGCACTATGCATATGTGGGAGTAGTTATACTAATAAAAGCAGCATATGCTAGCAAAAGCAATGTGCATGGGTAATAAGGGAGGTAGAGTGGTGAAAATAATGCAATATATAAGGGGCAATGGTGATAATGGGCTGGTCATTATCTCTGTCTTGTTACGCTTTGATCCTATTGTCCATATCTCTCTCCCTCTTCTAATCTTCTCAAAACTTCTTTTATAAAGGACATGTGTCTGTGAAGATTGCGTGTCTGTGACCTCTATCTGTACCTATGTGTACTGATATTGTGTACTGGTATTGGTCTCTGCACAGGTTAGCCCCACCTATGCTCTACACTGGCTATTATAAGGGCAATGATAAACTAGGCTATTATAGAAGACTCAGTAGATATTATTAGATGGTAACTCAAATTAGTGCAATCTTAAAGACATCTTCAGGGAGCTTGTAGATTTGATATTGGGTGTTCTTTTGAGATAGATGAGGGATTGACGATAAGGGAGGAGGAAAAGATGCAAAGGCAGAAAGTCAGGTGGAATGTAGTGTTAGGTCTTTGGCCTAACTTTATGCTCCCCTGCATGCACTGCACTCATGCTCTCTATGGCCATCAAGGTCTCCACCTGATCATGTTATAACTGGCTTTTTTAGTATGTCATTAAAGTAGTTGATATGGGAGGTCCACAACTGGTAGCAGCTGGGAGCATGACATGCTGCCAAATGTATTGAAGGTGAGCAAGCACCATAAATTGCATTGAAGTGAAGTGCTGGCTGGGAGACATCAATGGTTATGGAAGAGTGGTGATGGAGTAGATCAATAAATGAGCCTAAAGTAATTCGGCCAGAATTTCTAGGCAATTATGATTTTTGAGGAACAAAGAGAATCGTTCTTATAAGCAGTAAGCCTTTGGAGGCCAACCTGATCCGTGACACACTTTTCCCCAAACTGTGGGAAAATCCTAGAGATAGAACTTGGCTACAAACATTCTAATGGTTCTTCTGGCCCAACTACAAGTTGATTATAGATGGACATTCAAAACAGTTGTATTGAAAACTGGCACGACTTGTATAAATAACCATCAACAGATGTATGGCTGCAACACTTAGATTAGATAATAGATAACAGCTATTATATGTCAGGCAACATTTGAAATTACCTTTTATGAAGTATTGTACCGAGTTTAATGCATTGTAACCATCACTGTTAAATTTAAATCAAAAACTGGACCTAGTTAGCACTTTAAAACATTCAATTTTATTAAGATTTGAGTGACAAACCACTTGTGCAGTACTGAGGTGAACATCAAGAAGGCCTGCTTAGTCAGTTTCCTAATTTGGAAACTGACTTACCTAAGGTACCCATGGTTACCTAGGCCATGCCTCTAATTTTTTGGTTGTTTTCTGCATTTTTTTAAATTTTCTGACCTTAGAATGCACTTTTCAAATTGGGAAAGTCAGAAGCCCTTCAGAGTGATGATTTCTGAGAAATGAAGAGAATCATTCTTATGAGTGATGAAACTTGAAGGGCTAAAAATGTTACCTAGTTATGATTCCTGAGGTACGAAGAAATCGTTCTTATGCAGGATGAGCCCTTAATGAGCGCCTATACCGTGACGAACTTTTGAACAAACTGTGGGAATAAATTTTGACTACAAGTTTGTATGAGTGACATGAGGTTAGGGTTACCTTAAGTTACAAATTTGTATTGGTGACCTGAGGTTAGGGTTACACTCGAGCTAACTGCTCTGCTTACTTGACTACAACTTAACTATAGGCGGACTTTCAAAACGGTTGTATTAAAAACCGACGCGACTTGGACAAATAGCTATCAACAGATGGGCGACCGTGGCACGTAGATTAGATAACAGATATCAGCAGTACTTCAATACGTTAAGATTAGCCTTGACACTGTGAGTGCAACCACAGAGACACGTGAATGTCTAAATTAAGTGTAATGCGGGTATGCCAGTTGTGGGATGCTCCTGTGGTTGTGACTGTTAGCTGCAGGTGCAACTACAGGAGCACGTAGATGTCTATATTAAGTGCAATGCGAGTATGCCAGATGTGGCACATCCCCATAATCGTGACCATTAGTTGTGGGCATGACCACAGGGGCACGTGAAAGGAGGTGTCCTTGCAGTGCGGATATCTATCTGGAGCACGATGTCTAAATGGTCAGAAATGTCTCATGCAGCACACACCTAGAGTTATGTCCCTTAGTTGAAGTTATGACCATGGCATGGGAAAATGTGCATATTGCCTGTGGGGACCCGTATTATAGCGGTCAGTGTGATTGCAATTCAGAAGGACTCGTGATAACAGATGGGTGCAAAGCAATAAGGTGGAAAGAGGATTTTTTTGATGATGCATGAAGGGTATTGATATAAGTCACCATCTAGGGGGTAGTGAGAGATACAAATGGGGCCTATCTCCTGCTCCTGTGTATTGATCGTCTGTCAAGTGTAGGATGGCTGTAACACTTAGATTAAATAACAGATAACAGTGTTACTTCAATATACATTAAAATTAGCTTTCACAACTTGTTATAGTCAAATCTGTGCCTTGAGGCTGTCACCATTGAATTCAGACCAAAAATTTGACCTAATTCACACCCTGAAACACCAAATTCTGTTGAGATTTGAGTTAGAAACGACCTTGACAGCGCTGAGATAAACCAAAAGATCAATGCTTAGTCAGCATCCCAATTGGGCAACTGACTTACATAAGGTACCCATGACTCCCCAGGTCATGCTCCGATTTTGTCCGCATTTATTTGAGGTTTCTAACCCCAAAATACACTTGTCTAAATCTGGAAAGTCAGTTGCTTTTTAAGGGCTTCCACGCGCCCCTGTCGTCGTGCCCGCAACTTACGGTGATGACCACAGGGGCACCCTCATTAGAGTGTTTACTATGTTTACTATATGATATCCACCTTCACCCCAGTGGGCTTAGGACATGTACTAGACAAGCCTTGATGAACCTGATAAGTAAGACGTATGAATCTGCGAGAACTACAATCTCATGAGCAGAATGTTCATCGGACTAGCACTCCGCAACCTGGGACCACCGATGGTATGATATAGTAGATGAATGGGAGGGTGCAAAGAGAAGAAGGGGTGAGCAGAGAGAAGAAGGAATGCATAATGGCAGTCATCGGGCAATAGCAAACTCCAATTCCGCACACCTCAGGATTGGTTTCCTTGTACGTACCACGGTGATATCTGCGATGGATGGTGATGGTGATAAGATCATCAGTGTAAGACATTGCGGAAGATGGCACATCGAAATGGATTGACACTGTCTTCAGCCACGCCATAAAGACAATGATAACGGGAAGGATGAAGGTGACGATGACGACGGAGGGTTTCAGGATCGTCTGCATCCGAATGAGAGTCGGTGATGAGGCAGGAGCTTGTGGAGCCTGCATGGAGCTCATGGTGGAAGTATGAGGTTGTGGAGGAGATGACGGATTGCCAGGAGATGAAGCGGCCTGCAAAAGTGCAGCAGTGTTCATCGTCCCTTGGTACCTCTGCATCAACTCATCCCATGCTTCCTCACTCCCGTGTGTGCCAGATCGCGAACAGTCAGCTCATCACGATCCTGGTGGGCAATCAGTAATGCGATGCTGCAATTGTAGAGTCGAGCACTGAAGGCGCTGATTTGATTCTCGACCGCGCAGACATCAGAAAGAAGCTGCCAGATGCGGTCAGCGACAATGTCACACTGAACACGAGTGACATGTTCTGCTTTGTGGGCTTTGCAGAGGAGGATATGGATGATGGGCGGAAAGGTTGCTGGCTTTGGAGAGAATCTGCGTGAAGTGAATGGTGGGGACCTCGTTCGATCAAAGGTGCTCGACATCCACCAGCAAAATTTGGTTCATTTTGCGTGCGCAGGCCGAAAGTCGGCAAAAATTAATTTTGTTAAATGGAAATTTGAGGACGGAATTCAAGGCCTCTCGCAGGTGACTTTGAGGGTCTTGACAACAGTACAGGATAGAGAGTTAAAGTGGAATAGTAATTTGAGTCTCCCGCACGCGAGGTTGGTGATAGTGGTTGTTGTTGTTGTTGTTGTTGTTGTTGTTGTTGTTGTTGTTGTTGTTGTTGTTGTTGTTGTTGTTGTTCTTGTTGTTGTTGTTGTTGTTGTTGTTGTTGTTCCGCTGGAACTAATCTAAATTAGGCCAGAATGAACCCAAATTTATTTGCCCTGGCCCGGAATTGAACCAAAACCTTCAGAGACACAGATATTCGTCAACAGTCAACTAAGCCACTTGACCACTGGGCCTTGTGAAAGGACTCAACTTCAGCTTACAAGTCCTTTCATGGTTCATCACAGCAGGTAAGTCCGACTTTCTAGCTTTATCAGTACCCATTAGAAGGAATTAGAAGTCTGCACTTTTGGCCTTACTTCATGCATTTGTAATCAATTCTAATTAGTCTACAAGCCCAGGTTATTAGCTTTCTTAGTAACTCTTCTAAAGCAGCCTTCAAGCAATATCACTTCAGATTTTTGGCAGATGTAATAGGTGCTGTGACTTCTAACTAGGCTATAAGCCCAGCTTACAGCAATAATTATAAAGCATCTTACAAATCTGAGTTTCTTTATCATTAAGACCTCTAGTAGAGCATTACAAGTTCTGATCTACTTGGAGACTTCTAACTAGTCTACAAGTCCGGGTTATTACCTTTGTTAGTAGCTATTGTAGCCTTTAAGCATTACAAATCCGCACTTTTAGCTCACTTAGTAGGCATTGTAGCAACTTGTAACTACATTGTAAAGTCGCTCATTTGGCATACTTAGTAGGCATTCTAACAATTTCTAACTCACCTACAACTCTGAGTTTCTAACTAGTCTACAATTCTGCTTTATTGACTTATTAATAATTATTGTAGAGCTGCCTTTAAGCATTACAAATTCGCAATTTTAGTGCACTTAGTAGGCATTGTAGCAACTCATAACTAGACTATAAAGTCGCACTGTTGGCATGCTTAGCAGACACTATAGCAACTTGCAACTAGATTATAAAGTCACACTTTTAGCACACTTAGTAAGCATTGTAACAACTTGTAACTGGATTATAAAGTCATCCTTTTGGCATACTTAGTAGGCATTCTAACAATTTCTAACTGTCCTACAACTCTGAGTTTCTAACTAGTTTACAATTCCGAGTTATTAACTTTGTTAGTAACTATTGTAGGGCTGCCTTTAAGCATTACAAATCCGCAATTTTAGTGCACTTAGTAGACATCGTAGCAACTTGTAACTAGACTATAAAGTGACACTTTCAGCTTACTTAGTAGGCTTTGTAGCAACATATAACTAGACTATAAAGTGCACTTTAGGGTACCCTTCCAACCTAGCTCTTAGCTTCAACATAATCTATATTGTGTTGTAGCTAAGAGCTTCTCAGATGTCAGACAGACCATGGTACTAATACATATCCCAGGGCATTATATGGGATTACCCAGGAAAAAGGCAGGGCATAGGCTGGTCCAATGGCACAATTATCATATGGGATATCCTATAGTACTAGGACATTGATATTTATATCCCAGTATTACTGGTTGTCCTATGGTGCCAGAGGTACATAAGGATGTCCCACTATTAGTAAAAGATGCATTTTCAGGCTATTGTATGGTATCTTTTAATACTTTGTTCTACAATCATATTGTATAAGCTCTAATTATAAAAACAGTGACTAGAATACTGTAAATAAGTGCCTTATTTGCACTTTATATATCGTAAAATATTTATAGAAAGCAGGATATCTCATATCAAGTATTGCGTAGGCATTTGTAATGTTATAAAGACTATATTACTATTGGTAGCATGTACAACAACTTCATTAGCTCATATAACAACTAAGACAGGTCAAACAACAATGTTTATTCTCGTGTTTTAAAATCAATTTTACATTTTCTGACATAATTTTCAGACTAACATGATATAATCTTTGGCATATAGTATGTATCATAGCTATACTACAACTTTCACTAAGTGTCTTAAGAAATGGAACAACTCAGTCTACTAATATACTAGCAAAGGAGATATATTCTTATCATGTCTCCTATCATATACTGTATTTGAATGAAAAAAGAAAGGCATTTGACCTAAGACTTCAGTCAAGTTGCGCTGAGAAATGCATTCACTGAATGACACCTTTGTATTATGGGATGTTCCTTTCTGTGATGAGATATCCTATGTAAGAACCTGTCACTCTTAAACCTTAGTAATTCAACTGTTAGTATAAATATCTAGATAATTATAGTAGTTTAATAGAAACTTCAGGCTAAAGAAGAGACTGAGTCTCTGTGAATCTATAAATCACATCTTAGGATGTATTTAAAATGGGAGATCCCACCTTATATAATATGCAAATAAAGTGCTTGTTTATATCACTATAGTCACCGTTTTTATAATTAAGACTTAGATAATATGATAGTAGAATAAGTATAAAAAACTACACATACAATAGCCTGAAAATGCATCTTTTACTAATAGTGGGACATCCCTATGTACCCCTGGCACCATAGGACAACCAGTAATACTGGGATATAAATATCAATGTCCTAGTACTATAGGATATCCCATATGATAATTGTGCCATTGGACCAGCCTATGCCCTGCCTTTTCCCTGGGTAATCCCATATAATGCCCTGGGACATGTATTAGTACCATGGTCTGTCTGACATCTGAGAGGCTCTTAGCTACAACACAATATAGATTATGTTGAAGCTAAGAGCTAGGTCAGATGAGTACCCTAAAGTGATAAAGTGACACTTTTGGCATACTTAGTAGGTGTTCTAACAATGTCTAACTTGCCCTACATCTCTGAGTTACGATTCCTGAGGAACGAAGAGAATCGTTCTTATAAGCGGTGGGTCTTTGGAGGCTGAGGTGAACTGTGACGCACTTTTCTTTTAACTGTGGGAAAATTCTGGAGGTAGAACTTAGCTACAAACATTCTAATGGCTCTTCTTGTCCAACTACAAGTTGAGTATAGGTGGATGTTCAAAACAGTTGTAATGAAAACCGGCGCGACTTGTATAAATAACCATCAACAGATGCATGGCTGCAGCACTTAGATTAGATAACAGATAACAGCCTCATCTCAGAGAACATTGAAATTATGTTCTATAGAGTGTTATACTAACTTCAATGCATTGTAACCATCACCATTGAATTGAATGCACTTTTAGAACATTCAATTTCATTAAGATTTGAGTGACAAACCACTTTTGCAATACTGAGGTGAACGACATGAAGGCCTGCTTAGTCAGTTTCCCAATTTGGAAACTGACTTACCTAAGGTGCCCATGGTTACCTAGGTCATGTTTAAATTTTCCGCCTTTTTCTGCCTTTTAAAAATATTTCTGACCTCAGAATACACTTGCCCAAATGGGGAAAGTCAGGAGCTGTTAAAGTTACAATTCTTGAGAAATGAAGAGAATCATTCTTACCAGTGATGGGACATTGAGGGCTAAAAAGGTTAGTATATGTGTGTAATGACTATATAAGATTATAGAAGTGTAATTAGGATACATTTTTAAGAACCTTACAGTGCATAATGATATATCTAATCATCTCTACTAAATGATATGGTATCATATATAACAGCCTACTGCAAAAAATATCACTGAAAACTGTTACAAATGTGCCTACAAGAATCACTACAAAAAATGTTACCAATGTACTTATGTGCATCACTACAAAAATGACCCTAGAAACTGTTACAAATGTTCCTACAAGAATCACTACAAAATTGTTACCTATAAGAATCACTACAAAAAATGACCCTAGAAACTGTTACAAATGTTCCTATAAGAATCACTACAAAAAATGTTACCAACGTACTTATATGAATTACTACAAAATGTGACCCTAAAAACTGTTACAAATGTGTTTATAAGAATCACTACAAAAAATGTTACCAACGTGCCTATAAGAATCACTACAAAAAATAACACCAGAAACTGTTACTAACGTGCCTACAAGAATCACTACAAAAAATGTTACCAATGTGCTTATAAGAATCACTACAAAAAATGACACTAGAAACTGTTACAAATATTCCTACAAGAATCACTACAAAAAATGTTACCAACATGCTTATAAGAATCACTACAAAAAATGACCCTAGAAATTGTTACAAATATTCCTACAAGAATCACTACAAAAACTGTTACCAACGTACTTATATGAATTACTACAAAGTGTGACCCTAAAAACTGTTACAAATGTTCCTACAAGAGTCACTACAAAATTGTTACCTATAAGAATCACTACATGACACTAGAAACTGTTACAAATGTGCCTATAACAATGTATTAAAATGTATACAAGAAATTGTTATGACATCTTGTATGAACTCCTAGTATACCATTTAATAATGTGTAAGTGTCCTACAATGTCCCACTATACATTGAGAAGTTGTGTGATTTGATAAGGGCCGTATTATTGAATAGTCTATGAAGTCGCCTACTGACTCTTAGTATATTGTCTAGTAATGTTCAG